TCACAACTCTCTATATTAACTCATATATCTAAGGCTGATCAAGGGCAAAATTCTCCTTAACATGGCTTTTAAATACTTGACCGAATGGGAAAGAAAGGGATGATGAGGTGCTTTGGTGATTTCATGAGATTAGGACACTTGCCCTCATTAGGAATGATATCATCACTAATGTAAACTTAGTCATGACTAATGGTACAAGACATGGACACCTCATGCTTGGACTTAAAGACAATTTCTCCCCTTGAAACAACTCAAAAATACCTACGGCATAATAAAGGAACTTGGTACAATTTTCCTTAAAATGCTACGGTATTTCCACTTTAATCATGTTTAATTACTTAATTAAGCATGATTAAATGCTTAATCATTTAAATAGACATAATACTTAACTACCAAAATTATTTCGAACGTAAACGTGACGTCGAAAATAATTTTGGGTAATCTCAACTGAAAATAATTAATTCGAACTATAATAATTTCGAATCCTTGACTTGGACGATTAATCCGAATATTGATATTTCGAATAATTTGTCAACTTAACTTATTAATTCCGAATTCATTAATTAATGAACGAATCGGAATTAAATCTGGAAAATTATTCGGTTACTGAAATAATTAAACCGAATAATTTATCGACTAATAGTCGAATTGGAATTTAACTAGCTGAATAACATGAACTAGAATACTAACATGATTATTTATTAACAATGGCTAGCTTTTACTCGAAAGCTAGTATTTTTCTTGATTAATAATATACGGGACGCTACATAAACCCAGAACGAAATCCATACTAATGGCACTCCATGGGCGAGAAGGAATCGACAACGGTCGATAAAGCCCGACATTTGACGCAACACCCTTGGACACTTGACACACGCGGCAACGCTCGACAAACCACGAAACATCACGCCGTAAAAGAAGGCCAGAAAAAAGAACGGCGGACCAAGGCATCGGAGCGGTCGCGGCCCACGTGCCCCACCCCATGCAAATCCACCACCACCTTGAGACGAAGGCTACAATCAGGAAGACACAACCGAATCCCACGAAATAGAAAGCCATCAGAAAGAGTATAGTCCTCGACCGGGCCCAACAAGAGGCGAGACATAATGGGACCGAAAAAATGATCAGTGGCATAGAGGTCCCGGAGCAAGTCGAACCCGACCACCTAAACACGTAAATCAGTCAACACCAACGCACGACGGGTCAATGCATCTGCCACGCAGTTAGAAGCATCCGAGTGATGCCGTAGAACAAAAGTAAACTGTTGCAGATAAGAAGTCCAAGATGCATGGCGGGCAGAAATTACCTTGGGAAGAAAGATGGCGTAGTGCCTCGTGGTCGGTGTAGAGGACAAACTCACGGTGAAAGAGATAATGGCGCCAATAATGAACAGCACGAAACACGGCATAGAACTCGACATCATATGTGCTGTAACGTAACCGCTGTCTGGACAACTCCTCGCTAAAGTAAGCGACTGGACGACCATCTTGACTCAACACTGCTCCGATCTCCACCTTCGAAGCATCACAAGAAAGCTCAAAAGCAACATCAAAATCAGGCAGAGCGAGCACAGGAGCTTCGGTGAGCTTGGATTTGATAAGCGCAAAGGCCTCCTCGGCCCGAGGGGTCCAAATGAACGTCTTGCCGGTAAGGCAATCGGTGATGGGTGCAGTGATAGTGCTGAAATGGGAGATGAAGCGACGGTAGAAAGAAGCCAAACCATGGAAGCTGCGCGCCTGTGTGAAAGAAGTCGGAGTAGGCCAATCGCGAATAGCAGCTACCTTGTTGTCATCCACACGAATCCCGGCAGCCGAGATGACAAAGCCCAAGAAAAGAATAGAGTCGACCACAAAAGAGCACTTCTGGGGAGCCTCATAAAAGGACTCGGAATGCAAGATCGAAAGAACAGACCGAACATGCTCCAAATGCTCAGCAATAGTGCGACTATAAATGAGTATATCGTCGAAATAAATGACGACGCACCTCCCAATAAGATTTCGTAAGGCTTGGTTCATCACTCGCATGAATGTGCTGGGTGCATTCGAGAGGCCAAACGGCATGACAAGCCACTCGAAAAGACCCTCCCTGATCTTAAACGCTATCTTCCATTCATCGCCAGGACGAATACGTATCTGATGATATCCACTACAAAGGTCAAGTTTGGTGAAGACGGTTGCACCATGTAACTGATCCAAGAGGTCGTCGAGGCGTGGGATAGGAAATCTATAGCGCACCGTGATCTTATTAATCGCACGGCTGTCAACACACATACGCCATGAGCTATCCTTCTTTGGGATAAGTAACGTCGGGACAACACACGGGCTCAATCTACGACGAACAACCCCACGATGTAGAAGCTCCTCCACTTGGCGTTGCAGCTCCTCATGTTCAGCCGGTCTCATGCGACAATGTGGCCGGTTTGGCAGAGAAGCTCCCAGCACTAAATCGATGTGATGCTGTATATCCTAAAGCGGAGGAAGGCCCGACGGTAACTCATCCAGAAAAACATCAGAAAATTCCTCGAGTAAGGGCCGAATAACATCCGGAGTGGAACTAGCAGGCCCAACATCCGCCCCAAGATGAAGGAAAATAACCGATGCCTGCTGCATTTCGCCCCGAAAAGCCGCACAAGACATAAAAAGAACCGGTGTCGATGCGGGAGCTGACGAAGAGCGGGGCGGTGACGGATGTAACACCAACCATGAGCCCTCGAATAAGAAGCTGTATGTGTTGAGACGACCATCGTAAGTGACGACACGATCGTACTGCCATGGACGTCCCAGCAAAAGATGACATGCGTCCATGGGGACCACGTCACACCACGCCGTGTCCCTATACTTGTGACCAATCGGAAAGAGCACCAAAACTCGCCGGTTGACTATAAGGGAGTTGCCTCGCTGAATCCACGCTAAAGTATACGGATGAGGATGCGGTTCGGTCGACAACTGAAGGCGGTCCACAACATCCTGAGCCACCACATTCTCGCAAGACCCCGTGTCAATAATAAAGCGGCAGACTCGACCACCCACAGTACATGTGGACTCAAAAATGTTATGGCGTTGGAAAGAATCCTCCGTGGAGGCCCACGGGGATAAACACGAACGCCGAAGGATCAATGCATGGCCAATGTCACCGTGAAGATGCTCCTCAGCTGGCTCAGGCTCTTCGTAAAAAATCGGCGGGCCATCATAGACAACCCCCTCATTGCCGCCGACGTCGAATTCAAAAAGTAAGGCACACGAGCCACCCCGGCACGGGCAGGCCAACTGACGATGGCCCGTCTCGCCGCACGAAAAACAATGCAATCCCCTACCTGGCCGTGCCCGGCGGCTGTGAAAAGCCCACGGCCGCGCTCGTGGACCCTCTAGATGAAGAAAAACCAGTCGTCTCCGGGTTGGTGCCGCGACCGGGAAGGGTGGTGCCCGACGCTGCCGGCCGAAACGGAGCAGGGGTTGATGACGTTGGAGGACCGGCCTGAGAGGGAAAACCCGACGCCGTAGCTGTCCGGCGAGACTGCTGTTGCTCAACGAGCAAGGCCCGTTGATGAGCTTCCGACACGTTTTCTGGTGAGAACAAATTTAACGTGTCCCGAATAGCGACCCGTAACCCTCCAATATAATGCGACACCAATTGACCCGGCGTTTCTCGTATATCTACCTTGGTGAGGAGACGATAAAATTCGTCCATATATTCATCAATAGTGCGAGCACCCTGTTGCAAATTCTGAAGCTGCTGGTACATCGTGCGAACATAGTTGAACGGAAGAAATTCCCGCTCGATGTGTTTCTGAAACTTGCCCCACGAAGCTATTTGAGGCTTGCCGAGCTGCCGCCGCGAGTCCTTCAAGTGCAACCACCAGGCCACCGCCCTCCCACGAAGCCTAGTTGCAACAAGACCCACGCGGTTTTCGTCGGGCACGTCTTTGTAATCCAACACCGCCTCGACTAATCTAAGCCAATAGAGAAAATCAGCCCCATCAAGCCCTCCTGAAAATTCCAAAATCTCCACGCGGAACGAAGCCTCCCAACGGAGCTCTCCACCCGCCGTGTCCTCGACCCGTGGCTGCTCGAATCTGAAAGGGTTGTAATCCTCCTCTGTGGCATCAGAATCCTCGCCGTCCTCCTCCTCGCGCGGCGTTCGCTGCCTGCCACCAAAACGCGGATGACCACGACCCCTGCGGCCACCGCACATCCCCCCGCGACCGCCGTCTCGTCCGTCGAGCCCGTCGCGGTTCGTGCCGTCACGTTGCATCAATGATTGGAGAGCCAGTCGAATCTCCTCCATGTCGCGCCCAAGAGCTTGAAAATGCCGCCCGAAACCCTCGCCTTGCCGTGTGAGAGATTCAAGGGCAGCATCACGCCTGTCGTCAGCCGTGTCAGTCCTCTTCGGCGACATCGTGGAACGTATCTGGTCTCTGATTACCAACTGATGTAGCGCAGCGTATACGGAAGGGAGAACAAGATATAAAATCTCAAAGTTGTAATATTATTCATAAGCCAATCGACCAAAAGCGAGGAAGAGAGATTAAATAGAGTCCCAAAACATTCTAGATACCTATCTTGCTAACAAAGCAATTATTAATTAAGCTATTACCAAATAAAGAAAGGAAAATAAGGAATACTAATAAAATAGCTAGGAAATAAATAGTCTAAATTAAAGACGGCATCCGATCAAATTTCTCCAAAAATGCCAACGCGATCTCGTCTCCATCACAAAAACTTCAAAACATCATGAACATTTAAATACCAAAATTTCCACCTCATAGAGCCCACAACCCTAGTAAACAACCGAAAAAATGGCAAAGAATTGAGATAAAAAAATCTCCATCAAACTATTTGCAGCAAACAATCCATCAAACACAAAACCAAAGATAAAAAAGCAGTCTTTATTGATAAAAAAAACCATATTCATCATCATCACCAAAAAAAGCGAACCGATCAAACACATGTCGGGCAGTGAACCAAACCATTCTCATTACACTCCTCACACCTCTCCTTCAATCAATCCTCCCCAACAACTTTGCAGCTTCCCCCGCACGCCAGGCACGGCACAAACCGGGCCCCACTACAACCCCCGAAGCCCAATCTCCTAGGTCTTCTCTCCACCTGGGCCCAAGCCAGAATTCGAGCGAAACGACTCGTCTCTTTCAGGCCCACCACCTCTTCCGCCCTGCCCCGGTACCGTCCCTTCACGAACACCCTCGAAAGCAACACGTCACCGCCCAGAAGCCCCCGGAGCTCCGCCAGGTAGCCGCTGTCGAGGGCCACGTCCCGCTCGTCGAAAGCCACCCGGTGGGCCTCCATGACCTGCCGCACACGGATGCAGTCCTCGTGGGTCTGCCGCATGCCGCCTAGGGAAGTCGTGTACACCACCACCACGGCGGCGTCGCCGCCGCCTCCCGACAGGCAGATCTCCGAGAAGTCGGCCAGCGGGTCCCAGCGCGCGAGCCCGCCCGATTTTCCCTCCTTGGCCCGCTCTTCCCTGTCCCTCAGGATGAATATGTTGCCCTTTATGGATTTGGGCGCCGATTCAACCGAGTTGGGGTTGGTTTTCGACTTGTTGGTGGAGGGCTCGGTACTGGTCAAGTGGAACCGTCTTAACTCGGGCTTGGGGGCCGCATCGACTCGGTTAACTGACTCGGAGTTTTTTTTGGGGGATATTTTGGATTCGAGCTCCTCGAGGGTGTGGGAGGAGAAGCTCCTCTGGGGGGTTCTCCCATTGGCGGGGAGAGAAGCGGCGGGGGCTTGCCTCGGGATGGAATCTGGCGGAGGCGAAGGTGGAAGGGCCACGTCAGTGTTGAGGTTGGGCTTGAAGTCCTCCAGGGCCGTGCTGACCTCGTTCCACGAGCGGGGTGCGTCTTCAATGGCGTTGAGCTTCTCTAGGATGGGGTTCGGCACGGGGTAGGGTTTGCCGTCGTTTGTGTCGCCGTTGGCGGCGCGGCGGCGTATTTGAGCCATGGCTCCTCAATGGAGGTGACGTCGAAGACGGAGAAGCTGGAGGGGGTTGGGCGATAGACGTCGACGACGTCAGCTTCGATTCTCTTGGATGAGGCACAACCCATTGCAGTTGGAGATTGTGTGTGTGTGTTTGTTTAGGGGAAGAAGATAGAAGAAGAAGATGAGGATTTTGGAGGGAAACGAATAATATTGTATTAACGTTCGTTATCTTGAATATTATTTGTGAGGATTGGAAAGACTTTGTTTGTTTTGTAGGTTTATGAAATTAGGGTATTAATTGATGGCCTTGAAATTTGTTTGTGGTGTTTGCTATTGCTAAATGTGTGCACAATTTGGACTTGTGGAGTGAGGACAATAGTCAATAGGTAATAAGTGCGTGGATGATGGGAAAACACGTTGCTTCTTGAAGATTTTTTTTATTATTTAACTTACAAAATATAGTGTATTTTGTAATGTAATTTAATTTTTTAAGTATTTTATTCAATACTTTATATTATTTTCTATACATATAATAGTATTTATTATATAATTCGGTTGGTTCAAATTATAGCCATTGAATGTGATCAACGCTCCAAGTATGGTCAAATGGTCCAACTTTAGTCAAACACGCGGTGACATTCCTATAAATAAATGGACTTTGATTTTCTCACGCATGAGTATTTTAGTCATTGTGCAAAATGCACTGTAGCGCTAACGTACAATCTGGCGAACACTAAGGTACAACGTGTCTGTCAATAATGTGCAGACATAATATACAATTTGCAGTGTGAGTATTTTTATGTGCAATTTCAAATGTGATATTGTGCAATGCATCGAACTTTAATGTGCAACTATCAACTTTTATTAATTTGCATCGAACTTTAATGTGCAACTATCAACTTTTATTAATTTATAAATTCACCCATGAACTAAATTTTAATATAATTAAAAATTTTTAATTTGCAAATAAGACCTTTGAACCTATCTAATTTACATCATCATCAACATCAACATACCCAATATATTCCCATCTGGTTGGAGTCTGGGGGGTCAGTTGTACGCAGACCTTACCCTTGTAATTATACAAGGAGGTTGTTTTCGTAGCGACCCAAGGTGCATTGCGCCGTTTGATATATTTTTTCTAGAAACTTCACTAATAGAAGAAGCACTAGAATTTAATTGAGCCATTTTGATCTAGTCCATTATTAGCACTATGTCAGGAGAATTGTCAACAATGACTCTTCC